CTAGTGCATTTAACACAATATTAGGCACCAGATATCCAAAACTGGTTCTGTGAGATATAGTTCTGGCTCAATATAGATAAACAAGGGGCCCAACATAAAAGTCATTACAACAGTAATGTTTTCATAGTATTTCTTTGTCCTAATAGTCTTCTGGAGTTTAATGTATTTTCTTCACCCAAGAGGGGGGGCTTGTGATAAAATCACATTATAATAGAACTTAGAATGAGAGCAGTTGAGTGTTTTTTTCCACCCAAGAGGGCAATTTAGTGTATTTTGCCAACCAGCAGGGGCCACTTTAGCACACGTTTTTTGCCTCCCAATAGGACACTTTAGCGAGTTTTTGGTTCCCAACGAGGGGCACTTCGAGGGCCACTTTAGCAAGTGTTTTGGTCCCAAGGCACTTTAGCACGCGTTTTGGCTTCCAGAGGGCACGGTTAGCACGCATTTTGGCTCACCAAGAGGCCACTTAGAGGGCAGTTTGTACACATTTTTGGCCTCCAAGAGGCACTTAGCAACACGTTTTGGCTCCCAAGAGGGCACTTTAACACACGTTTTGGGCCTCCCAAGAGGCACTTTAGCAACGCTTTTTTCAACAATTGCAAACCCCCCCCGTGCACTCACTGCTGCCAGTATTAGTACAGAATTTATACTTTTGTAGGCTACATGTCCATCTTTTAATCGGAGGACATCAGTATGCACTTACAGTCAGCAGTGCGAATAATAATAATGTATGAATAACAAGCTGTTTTGCCACTGTCTGTGAATGGAATGACTGTGCAGAAAATGGCTCATTTCATTTGTGGTTGGACCATGGTGCTGGAGGTGCTGGAAGGTGTAAAATGGACTCTAAGACTCTGATCGATGGACTTCCCAAACAATGGAAAAAAAACGTGCACCAACACACAAAGTGCAAGATGTGAGACACACAAGCTTGGCACGAGGGACATACACAGAGCATGCAGCACCACACAGACCTGCAGAAGAAGGATAACAAGGCAAGACCTCACATAAAAACATGAAGACGTCACACAGAAACACACACTCCTCTTAATGTACACACGCACCAACACACACAGGATGAAGAAGATGGAGGAAGACCAGGAATGACGGAAGCTGGGAACATCCCACAAAGACTTTCTCTGTCCTCTCTACTGACAGGGATTTTTAAGGTAAAATTATTATTGAATTAATATCTTACATATAAATATAATAAAGGAGAGTGATGGAAAGTAAAATAAGTATTTTATGTGTCTAAGTATATTTTAAAAGACCACACTCCTGTTTGTTATTTAAAGGGGACCATTTCACCGTGGAAACATTAATATTTATTGAAAGTTCGGTTATATATGTAGTCGAATGTAACATAAATTTTGAATTGGTGCCCTATTTGGCCGATGAAAGACAGAAAGTGACTTACTAGGGCGCATTTGTCTTAAAAGACAAACAACTCCCACAATTGCACCAGCTCCGCAACCACCCGCTTCCGCTCTTCCATTTGTTTATGGAGAGGAGTGAGGGCGAGCGGTTTTATTCAATACTTATACCACAAAAACGGTTGTGTTTGTTTTTTCCCCTCCCACACCAATTCCCCACCCTAACTATTGTATAAGGTCCCGGCTCACCCAGCAACCCACACCTCACCTCACCCTCACAAACAAACATTATCATAATTATTTCAAAATATGAATGATATAAAACAAAAAAAAAAATAGACAATATAAATAAGTCTCCACCTCCCCTGATCTTTCGGAGAGCGCCCTCCTCCTCCTCCAGTGTGCTCTCCTCGTGTCTTGGAGGTCCACTAGAACTCAAATCTAGGAGTGGAGTGGTATTCATAGCAAGGGGGTGGGGTGTCTGGCACTCCATGCGCGGGACACACAAAACAAAAGCTGGTTTTTTATTTATTTATACCACGCACACCAGAATAGCCTCAGAACCACAGTCGTCCTCGAAGCTTCTTGCACCGGACTTTTTTGATCGCAGAGAAACCCAAGCATATTAGGCGCACTCCCCCACCTTCGCCCCCACCCCCTTTCTCCTCCACCCCTCATAGAGACATATAGGAAAGGGTGGGTTTTTCTACATCTATTGTTAGCGTTTATCATTGCGGGGGAGTGGTGCAAAGGATCTTTGTGAATTTAGACATAGCCACAGTAGTATAGACAATGCAAACTGCAAAATTGTAATGTGTGTTTTGCAGTTTTGTAAATAAAAAAATGTATTATGTTTTTTTCAGCCTTGGCTGACGTTACGTACTCTTACCCGGGAGAAATAAAACATTGGGGGTAGAAAACCTCCCCCGTGAATAAAAAATAGGACAAAATTGAAACAAAATTAGTAAGGTGAGGAACAAAAAATAGACTGCACATACCAGGCTATATACAGTGGAGTTGGGTTAGGCAAAGGGCAAAAAGGAAGCATACTCTGATATCAGCATTCACGAAGAAATATATAGAATAAAAGATCACTCTCTTTATACAGTACTAGATGTCTTCTTGAGTCATACATATCTGCACATGCATTTGCACAAACAGACTTGACAGAGGAAATCCAATCCTCAGGATGTGAAGAAATCCTTTAAGACGTCTTGTTCGCTAGTGATCTAGCATTAACCAGGCCAATCCTGGCAGGAACCGACAGGACCACGGCGTTGGCTGTCCGGGCAGCCCGACACAGAGGCCGCAAATTGCGGTGATTCACCCCACGCCAGCGGGGACGAGGAGAGCAGGGTCCGCGGGGCTGGAACACCTCTTCCAGGCCGACGACAGGTATCAGCCAGGCGTCGGCAGCGAGCGTCGAGGAATAACGAGGCTAGGCACGGCTCCAATTTCAGTCCAAGAAGGCATAGAAAAACGCGCGAGACCGGCCTTCAGCCTCACCAGCCGCTGCGTTTTCCCCGGCGGCGGGGGCGCTTACACCGAGAGGGTGGGGCCGGGGCGCGGCAAAGAAAATTTTACTAAATCTTCGGCAGAAAGTTGAAGATTTAGCAGTGTTTGGCGATCATACACCAGTAGAGAGTCGACATTCAGAGCAAGAAGCAAAACAAACAGCATAAACACACACAGCACTGGCAGTGACAGACGGCAGGCCACACACACTGGCGCCATCTTGAATGCAATGCTATTGCTTTGTTGTTGCTAACGCCGCTCCCTCTCTTTATTCAACCTCCCTTTTTGCTCTTTCTGCCTGTAAATAGTAAATGGACTGTACCTGTATACCACCTTTCTAGTCTTCCAACCAGTCAAATCGATTTTACACTACCTGCCACATTCACCCATTCACACAGTAATAGCAAAGCCCATCAAATACAAACTAAACTCATTCATTCATCCACATTTACACACCGATGACACAGCAGGAGCAATTTGGGGTTCAGTATCTTGCTCAAGTATACTTCGATACGTGGCAGGAGGAGCCGGGGATTGAACCAATAACCTTCCAATTAGGGGACAGCCTGTGGGACAGCCACAGCTCACTGATCACCTGCTCTACCTCACAGCCGCCCCTAAGAACACACATTCAAGTGGGTAGCCCTAATGTAATAGAGATTGTAATGACATTTTTTAAGAACCTATACAACCCTTTGACCTGGTTATTGTAAAACCATACACAACTGTTAAAGAGGCTATTATATGCATATAACCTTTAACCCTGTTTCTAACTACACTCTATGTCCAAGTAAACAGCGGGATGTTGAGACATGAGTCCTAGAACTCAGGAATGTGTAACTGTGATGCTCCAACAGGGATAATACCGTACTGCAGCTTACTCTTTTCTGACTTTTCGGAGTGTGTGATGGTTGCGTTGAGTCCATTCATAGATGATTTGAATAGTCAAGCTAGCGTATGTAAAAGTGCTACAGGAGAAACATTAGAACTTTGCTGAAATAACCTTGGGATGCCTGGGTTACTGTAGCAGCACCACCTTGCTGTTCTGTTCTTATAGACACAGTAAATACACTGGTAATAATTAAACATTTTCTACCTGATGAGTGAGAGGCATCACAGCTGGTTAGGCTCCGCCCTCTGTGCTCCTCTGCCAATCCCTGCTGTCCACTGATGGGAAGCTGGAGCCCAGCAATTAATAGGCGGTACAGACTTGAAGAGACAGAGACGCAGCGTGACTTCTTGTCTTCCTGGAGCTGGGCTGAATGGTGATCTGGGTTGGATGCCAGATCCTCCACACTGGTGACTGCCAGGCAACACTGCTGATCCAGAGGAGATGGGATGCTAGAAGAAGATGTTTCACTTTAGTTAAAAGAAAACAGATATAGAGAAAAAATTAAAGATCAAATGGAAAACATACATAACCCTGTCCTGCTGATAATCTGGCATACTGTGCATTTTTAATATTACATTTATCGCTAACAACTGGCCCATAAAACAGGGACAACAGTCCATTGGTTCATTTTCTATGACACTAGGCCATTCACAACCAAACATCTGTTAAAGAAGGAGGGCGTCAAGATGTACAAGACCGGGTATGCAGAAAAGAAGAATCTACATGCATATGCCACCAAATCACAGATATGTTTGCTGCAAGGGCTGCAGCAGTGGCATCAACATCTATGACGTCAGCAGTGCTCATGTAAAGTGTAAGGAGGAGGCTACCATGGCCACTGCAGAGGAGCACAAGAAGGAGCAAGGGAGCTAAGGAACAGAGTGAGCATGAGGAGGAATAGTTTAATTGATAAGAAGGAAGTAGCATGCAGGGAAACAGAGACTCTCAAGGAGGGCGCAGGCAAAGCAGTGACCTAGGTCTATATAGTATCATATTATTATTAAAATCATTAGGCCAAGGCTTACCACGATGAAGATGTGTGTAAAGGCTGTATAATAGGTTACATCTGTAGCTCTACTGTCCTAAAATGTTTGGCTGCTTATGTATTAGCCTATATGGTACATGGAAACAATACGCATAGGATGGTGTTCTGTTAGATTGATTGTGGAAAACATGCCAGGACGAAATGTAATATTTAAAAGATGAACACAAGGTGATTTCTTTAGTGTTCTTGATTTGACTTTGTTTTTGGGTAACATGCAAAAAATATTTGACATGAAGTGCACTAATTAAAGCAAACCATATCGAAGGCTAGCATTTTGTAACCTTTAATGTAGGTAGTTACCTTGAGGGAGCTGATGTGTCAATGCCCCCTCCATGCCATGATAGGGGCCTGTGGCGTCTGGAGATGACTGGACTGCTCCTGGGAAGGAGGAATCCTTGGTCCTCTGGATGTAAGAGAGACTGGTCCTCTTTGCTCCTGTTGTCAGCCTTTGGAGGTCTGACATTCCCCTTTCGTCCATCCTCACCCTCCTCAGCAGGACTATTAGGAGCTTTGTCAATGGTGTACAAAGCAGAGCTGGAGTGTTGGTTCCAATGGGAGTGATGGGATCGTGTGACAGCCACCTGATGTGTCCTCTTTGTGTTTTCTGCTTGTGACAGAAGGAGAAGTGGGATTGGTCCTGAATCAGTCGACTGGTGCTTTTGGGGAGAAAATTCCTCTGGAGTGGCTTTTGGAGAGAAGGAGGAGACAGACATAAGTCACATGTGTCGTGTCATACATATTTTATATGAGGGATGAGAGGGAGCTTATTAGGTTTTTTTCACCCAGATTTCACCCAGAAGTTGATTTTATCATTTGAGCTGGAAGGCTTTTAATGTAAATTATCTTTGATCAGGCACAGCGGTAATGTAAAATTGATGTTTTTGATTTAACTGCAGTCTTAAGAATCCCTAGAGGTGCTTCAAAGCTCTGTAAAGCTATTTTCAGAGTGTGGTGGATCCTACCTGTTGCTGTCAGAGCTGTAGCTACAGATGTTGGTGACTCTGAGCCCACACACCAGCTGACATTTCCGGATCTCTGGAGAGAGGAGGACATGCCCCTGCAGCTTCCCATCTGTATAGTATAGGGGAAATTTCCCAATGACAGAAGCTCTGGTGCAAACATCGTGGTGCAACAGTTGGTTGATGAGAAGACAAAAAGTAGCTGTGAGAGTAAGTGAGGATTTTTCACTGACTCAAATAATACAAAATTAAACAAATAAGTATATCTTCAGGCAGCTGATCAATACCAGTCTGTTTGGAGATGTAAATGGTAAATGGACCTG